AAGGAAGGAAGGAAGGAAGGAAGGAAGGAAGGAAGGAAGGAAGGAAGGAAGGAGAAAAATTGCAAAGCCTCAAAAAAATCAGGTACTTAAGAAAAACTAACAGCATTTAGATTCTATAACACTATACTTTCAGAGAAAATAAATGAATTATCAAATATTTACTTTTCTTTAAAAAGAACCCATCTTAAAGACTTCCTTTTTTGGAGTCTTGGAATTATAAGATTGTATGATAATGAATACTCAACTTACCAGGGAACAAATATCCAGCCACCAACCACAAATCAGGGGGAACACTCCAATTTCTACCACCACTAACAAAGAGACCTTTAAGTGAAAATAAAGGTCATCAATATCACCCAGATGCAGGAGAAATTTCTTACAGTTTTAAATTATAACAGGAATTACCTTAACAACAATATAGCAGACTCCCAGTAAGCGACGAGACCTGTGAAATTTAACAAGAGTTGCCAAGCCCTACAGAATCTAGTCAAGGAAAAACTGAACATATAAAGACATAATGAGACAGGTAACTTAGACAACATTTAATATATTTACTACAAATACCAACTTTTACTAAGAGGACAAGGAAAGAGAAAATAGTTTTGCCATTAATGAGAACAGTTCTTTAGTATGAACAATATTACTGAACACTCAAGCTGGTTCATTAAAGGATACATGACAAATTATCAGTGTTATTGCTAAAAGTATATACCCAACTATGGTTGTGATCAGTCCTTCAAAATGAGATGCCTGGACCTGGAAATAAGAAACAAATAAATAAAATTCAATTTAACCATATGCCCTACACTCTAGTTTTCCCCGTGTATTAAACAATCCAAATAACTGAAAGTGAATCATCTAGACAATCTACAACAAGAAAACAACTGCAAAATCCCTTTTGAATAACATCTTTGAAAACCTATCCCGCTGACTGCTATATGTTACTTAAAAAAAATGAAGAGCTGGGCACAGTGGCTCATGACTGTAATCCCAGCACTTTGGGAGGCAGAGGCAAAAGGAATGACTGAGTCCAGGGCTTTGAGACCAGCCTGGGCAACTTGGAGAGACCTCATTTCCACAATAAACCAAAATATTAGACAGGCGTGGTGGCATGTGCCTGTGGTTCCAACTGCTTGGAAGACTGAGGCATAAGGATTGCTAGAGCCCAACAGGTCGAGGCTGCAGTGTGCCACTCCACTCCAGCCTGGGTGACAGAGTGAGACTCATACTTAAAAAAAAATTAAAACTAAAAAATAACATTTACCCAAGGAGACAAAGTAACTGTACAGCGAATTAAATTTTACAAAATTAAGAACCCTCTATTAAACAATGCCCTCTCTTTTACGATTGCTAAAGGCTAAACAATGAAAGCAGCTACATATTGCCCAAGCTGCCATGTGTCTGGCATCATCCCAGTACCTCACTTCCTACCACGAGAATTACTGTTTAAGTTTCCCTTTCTCGCCGGGCTCGGTGGCTCAGTCTGTAATCCCGCACTTTGGGAGGCTGAGGCGAGTGGATTGCCTGAGCCCGCGGGTTCGAGACCTGCCTGGGCAACTTGGCGAGACCTCATTTCTACAATAAATAAAAAAAATTAGCCGGGCATGGTAGTGAGCGCCTGTAGTTCCAGCTACTTGGAAGGCTGAGGTGGAAGGATCACTGGAGCCCAGCAGGTCGAGGCTGCGGTGGCCGGGAGCGTGCCACTGCACTCCAGTCTGGGAGAAAGAGTGAGACTCCAATTAAAAAAAAAAGAAAGTTTCCCTTTCTCTCCATTCCCAACTTACAGACAGTAAGTTTGGATAGTAACAAAAATGCCTATCCGCATTTTTTTGGCTCCTGAACTTCAGACAAGTGGCAACAGTTGAGGAAGTTACTGCATTCAACTAGTGAGAATCAGAGAGCAATATTAAATATAAAAAACGCTTCAGAACATGATCTCTCAAGATTCATACATACAAGGTGAACAAAAGTTTCCAGTCAGCTCTTCCTTAGAAGACTAATCCTTCCAGAGCCCCAAGAGAGTAGTAGTAGTAATTCATCCCAAAATTTATCTATCTCTGGATAATGATTAAAATGTCAAAACTAAAGCAAGTTCTTTAAAAAACACTACAGCCCATCATTCCAAAATAGCTTATTCCTTTTTAAAAATTGATTGATATATTGTTACTTTTCTAAATTCACTATAGGGTACCTGGGGCAAGGAAGGAAAAAATAAAAACACTAAAGTTCTTGAAGTACATGGAAAATCAGCTTGTGGGAAACTTCCCACGGTCTGCCTCGGGTCCTCTCACCAAAAGGCAGACAGTGCATCACGGGATTTCAGAGCATACCTTTGGTAGCTGACAATATGACCACTATCTTCTGAGCTATTTTTAAAACAAAAGAATGAAATATGCCTTTGCATGACACAGATTGAGAAATGAAGTTAACTCTTTAGAATAATATTACTTATAGCAAATATCAAATATGGGGGTAATTAATGAAAGTATGTTTATAAAGTATTATACTCACGTGTTCTTCAAATCCCATACCAACAAGGGAGAAATGACCAATGTGGTAAGGGCAAAATGCTAAAAGGCAGAAAAAAAAACTCAATGAAAACTTCAACATCAAAACATGAACACTTCTAGTACAATCACCCACTAAAAGGAACCAGGGCTTCTTGGAAAAATGGAAGATTCCAGAATGGGGCCAAAAATAAGTCACTGGTTATAACTACAGAACAACAAAGTTATCAATGTCTAATAGGACCACATAAAACAGACACAGAAACTACTGTGAAGAGGGTGTCACAGACCAAAGAGAGGATCCAAAAGAGTAACAACCAAAACTGATAGAAAAACACTTAACGGCCAGGCGTGGTAGCTCAAACCTGTAATCCCAGCATTTTGGGAGGCCGAGGTGAGAGGACTGTCTGAGCCCAGGGGTTCGAGACCAGCCTGAGCAACTTGATGAGACCTCATCTCTACAATATATCAAAAAAAATTAGGTGGGCATGGTATCACACGCCTGTAGTTCCAGTTACTTGGAAGGCTGAGGTGGAAGGATCTCCTGAGTCCAGCAGCTCGACACTGGCGTGTCCGTGAGCATGCCACTGTGCTCCAGCCTGGGTGAAGGAGTAAGACACTGACTCAAAAAAAAAAAAGAAAGAAAGAAAAACACTGAACACATATGAATCATGTGTTCCGTGAGCTTATAAATGTTCAAAAAAGGGAGTCACAAAAAAGAACAAAAGCAACATCACAGAAAACATTTTCATGTTTTGGAATGAGCACACCAATGGAAGTAGTGAATGCACCTATTTCTTACTCAGGAAACTGATAATTAAAGGGAAATAACTGAGCATCTGCTCTACTTCTCTTGGGCAAACAAGTTCAAATTAACTAAATAGTCCCAACTGACAAGAATTTCTTCTTGTTTACAGAAAAGCCAGCCACGAAAGGTTTAAAAAAAAATTTTTTTTTTTTTAAATTACAATCCTGTCACACCAAATAATATAAATGATTCAGGCAAGGATCAAGGACTAATAAAAATTACTGGGTAAAAGGCTGATGGAACACAGTAAACCTGCATGCCACTAAATTATCACCCAACAGATTACTTTCTAATGGTAAAGGGAAATATGAAACCTAAGATAAAAGGCTCAGGCTAATACCACCTGAATCCACTGATAAAAGAGGATAATCTAACATCATGTACCGCACCTCAGTGAAGGAGTTGTCCCAGATGAATTGAACCTTAATCTAGCCCTTAGATCTGACTTTTAGTTTACGGGAAATATGAGAGACAAAGGATGAAAGCAGAGGACATCCAGGAAGCAGCTGGACAGATGTAGAACATGACATGCTATAAATAAGTTATCCTAATCCCACCAATAAATTAACAGCAAAACGGGGTGGGGCAATGGAAGAAGCAAAGAGAAGAGTAGTTCTAGGATAATATGAAACTTAACAACTAAACTAATATTAGATGTTATTTGGATGATTCAAAGCAACCAACTGCAAAATGGCGTCTAAGGGAACAACTCAGGAATTTTAAATATGATGGATTATTAGGAAATATTCAAGAAATTCTAGTAATTTTTTAAGGTATGATAATGGTATTGTAAGAAAATACTCCTAAAAATTTAGTCTCCCCACATCTTCAAAATTAAAAATTAAAAAAACAAACAAACAAAAAAACACACCACCACTACAGAAAATAAATAAATAAATGAAAATTTACAGACTCTTTTCCTCAAGTTTTTCTGGCTAAATTTTACTTTGTTCTTAATAATAAAATTTAATTGCTTTTTCTTATGGTAGAAATAATTAAATAGTATAGATTATTAGGGAAGTAGGGAACTCAATCATTAAGACAAAAGTCAGAGTGAATTCACTAAAGATCTAGCCTCTAAACCTTTTTTAACTGACTATACCATGGGTAGAACTTTTTTTGAACATGTATTCCCAATATATTTAAATTTATTTATAAACTATATACATGTATTATTTTACTATGTGTATTTAAGTGTATATAAAGCACCAGAAATTTGAAAGGGTAAGAAAAAACTATACATAGGATTCTGCCTATTTTGTTCTCGTACCCTATCTGAGGATTACTCAATTAGGCCCCTGGGAGAGACAAATTTTTAACTCTGTTGCATGTGTAATTATTAACCTTAAATACCTGTTGCAACAATCAATTTCCATTCCAAAACACAATAACATAGAGAGGGATCCTGAAATAAAGGTCAGTTTCTGAGGATCATTCCCTTCTACTGGGATACTAGAGCTTTGTAAGGTTATATTTCTGTAAAGTATATGAACATAAGTGCCCCAAAAACGCCTGCGAAAACTGCCAAAAGAGAGCAACTCATGCAAGAAAGAAACATTAGCTGAAAAGAAACTGAAAGAAAATGTTCCCAAAGGAAAAAAACTTCTTGTTTCATTTCAAAAGATCCTAACTATAAAATATACTGTACATAACTTTACTAAGTATAAGATTAGGAGGTTGAACTAGAAAAAATTTTACTTAGATGAGATTTCTATAAATGAAAGTTCTTACTTGCATAATTCATGTTTTAAAGGTGATCTTTTCCTCCAAACACTAATTTAGCATTAAGCTTTTCTGCAAGAGTAAAAACTAAAATCCACAGATCCCCACAAAACCATAATAAAAAATATTTAAAAAAATAAAAATGAAAATAAATAAATAAAATTCATAGATCAGCAGTCCCCAACCTTCTTGGCTACAAGGACCAGTTTTGTGGAAGATAATTTTTCCATGGGCCAGGGGTTGGGAGGAGGAATCATTAGGTATTAAGAGTCTCATAAGGAGGGCACAACCTGGGTCCCTTGTGTGTGCAATTCACAACACGGTTCATGCTCCTACAAGAATCTAATGCCTCCACTGATCTGACAGAGACTGAGCTCCACTCACCCGCTGCTAACCTCCTGCTGTGCAGACCACTTCCTAACAAGCTACAGACCAGTACTGACCCCTGGGATTGGGGATCCCTGCTATAGATCATTTTTTTTCTGTGAAAGAAAATGTGGCCAAGTTCAAAACACAGTCCAGTCTATATATGAATTATTTTACATAATGAAAAATACTCCAGAATAATATATGAATAATCCTATATACCAGGGGGAAAAAATTAAATCTGTACCATCTTGTATATCTACTAAAAATTAAGAAATCAATGCAAATTTTTCCAAGCTATTTTGTTTCAATAAGATACACGTAACTTTCCTTTGCTCTTTTACAGATAACATGCAGAAATCCTTTTTTTTTTTTGTCTCATCCACAATCCAAATATCCAGTCTTTTTGACCACATGGATTCCTATTAAAGACAACTGCTTTCTGGGTCATAATGTAGGCCATAGCAGAAAGAACAAATAACTCAGTGTTTGATGGAAGAAGCCTTGGGAAATCTTTACTCCTCTTCAGCAGAGCTGAGGGCTAACTAAATATGCTCTAAAGAAGGAATTTCTTAAATATCATCTCTATTCAGAGACATGTTGCCTGAGGTCTGAGAGACACAAATTACATCACTTCTAACAATAACCTAGTCAGTTTGACTTAACCTCCTCTCATGAGAGATGCAAGAACTAGAATTCTAAGGCCTTGGTTTATTTGACTCAGTTTCCCTTATCTCTCCTCCAAAGCAGAAAAACTTCAACTGTGTCTGTCAACTGTATCTCTTCAACCTTGCCTTCCTTTCTGTAATTACTCTCGATGGACGGATTCCACTGTGTTGTCACACAATTCTCCCAGCTGCACTTGGAAAAAAGTGATTTTGCATGTCCTGAAATCTGGTTCTACGGGGAGTTTATACTTGAGGAAGGTTAACTGTCTTCCCACAAGCCTATATCCATTTCTGGTGACAGCTCCCAAGCCAGGGTCTCTAGAAGGCCTTGGTCAGGATTTTGAAAGATGAAAACAAAGTCTTCTGCCATAGGAAAAAGCACACACATAATGAGCACAAAATTAATCATGGCAGTCGGATACTAAAGTCAGTGTAAACCCAGTCAAGCAGAGACACAGTAGGAACTGCAATCAGTGTTGCTTAGGAAAGCATCTCTATGTTTGGGGCTTTCCAATACAAGATTCCTATCTAAAACTATTTGCATCTACTCTTTAATAATCTTATGCTAAAAACAAAACAAAAATCTATAACAAGGCTCCTAGAAAATTAAACTATCATAATACTATAAAAAATAAAAGCACAAACACAACTTACCAAAAACAAGAATGAACAGTGTATTTAAAGACACCACCCAGAAGACATGTTCCTAAAGGAAAAGAACATTAATAATGTATATTCAACTCATATTTTATATATATTTAACTAGATGACACATATTTAGCAACAGCCAAATACTGATAATAGCTAAGACTGAAATATCCCTCTATAATTTTGAGATTTCAATCTATAAATTATATGCAACTTTCATTTTTCATTAGTTCATAAAACTAAGTCTAATAAAGCTCAAAGTTCAAAATGTTACATGCAAAATCCCCCCAAAAATCAATTTATAAATATCTCCTTTTTAGAAATTAATACTCTACCACAAACTACATAGATTTTCATAAATAACTCCAGACTCTATTTAAACCAAATAACAATGAAAAATTCTAAATGGAGAAAAATTTGAAAGCCATAGTACTCAATGTAAACTGCACAGTGCTTCTTTCAGTGTCCACCCCACTTTCCTGACTTCTACAAGGTCACCACTGCTTGGCTACCTACTCTTTGGAAAACTCTTAGCTTGATTTCCTCTGGTCCCTCCTCTCCTAAGGTACCCTGGCTTTCTTTGTTCCTGTCTTACCTGGCCATCTGATCCACTCCCACAGTTTCATACTATCAACTCCAGAATGATGGCTATTCACCTATCCCTCCAGCCATGTTACACACACTTTTGCCACATCCCATGATGACACTCAGACTATCCAAACCCATTCATCTGGGTCCACCATCTTACCCATCCATCAGATTATGTGATCCTTCTGAGAATCTTTTTAAAAAGGAAGATTTCTCTGTTCAGGTCCCCTATTCTTCCATAAATCCAACTAGCAAGAAGAGTGATTAGTTTGTCTAGAAAAAATAACTACTACATTCCTACTCACCATGCTGGCTCAACTTTCTCAGCTTCTCTGCCTTAAGGGCTGCTAACTGTTCCTATCCCCAACATCTTTTATGCCTCAACCTCTAAGTTATCTTTTCTAAAAATGTCCTGCTGACAAACTCCCCTCTGCTTAGAAAGAGCTGACCAAGCCCTTTTCTGTGCTCTTTTGTCCTATGCACGCTTTATGTCACTTAGTCTTTAACACACAGCTCTAAAGCTCCTTGTTTACATGTTCATTTCTCCCTACTAAACCATAAGGCATCTTTGAGGACAGGATCCTGTTTCACTCATCACTGAATCCCTCAGTAACTATCAGAATAACTGGCACACCATACATATTAAATATTTTTTACTGAAGCAATAAATTCATCCTGTGAAGATTTCATTCAATACTTAAATGGGTTTGAGTGAATACCACTCCCTCAATGACTTTCATCACTCATTTATGAGGAACTGACCAAGTAAGCAGTAAAGGAGTATGTGGCCAAATTGATTTCTATACTGACTGCAATCAAACTCTGACTACAAGATCATTTAGATCACATTCCCACTAACTGTAGAATTACGCCAGATATGTTCCTTTATAAATCCACACACTGCTAACTTCAATGTCCTCTTCTGGCTCCCATCTGAAGCCAGCCTGAGGAAAAGGACAACACTGAGAACAGAAAAGGAGATGGATGGCAATTATTTGGGTCTTTGATGGCAGTGTTGGGCCTCTAGATCAAGCAATCCTCAAGCCTGTATTTCCTCCAGGCTTATGGTTGTTAGTTTCAGTCAGTCAGGGTTCTGCTACCTGCAGCTAAAGTCATCTTGATACCCTAAGCTATTTAAAAATCTCAAATGGCAAGGGGTTTTATTTACAGGACCCCAAAACAGCATAATTTCTCCTTTAAAGAACTGTTCCTAGCCGGGCTCGGTGGCTCAGCCTGTAATCCCGCACCTTGGGAGGCTGAGGTGAGTGGATTGGCTGAGCCCGCAGGTTTGAGACCTGCCTGGGCAACTTGGTAAGACCTCAACTCTACAATAAATCAAAAAATTAGCCGGGCGTGGTAATGCACGCCTGTAGTTCCAGCTACTTGGAAGGCTGAGGTGGAAGGATTGCCGAAGCCCCAGCAGGTAGAGGCTGCGGTGGCCAGGAGCGGCCACTGCACTCCAGTCTGGGTGACAGAGTGAGACTTCAACTCAAAAAAAAAAAAAAAAAGAATTGTTCCTCACCTTAGCTGTAATCTTTACTAATAAAGCAGAGTTTCAGGTGAAGACAGAGGAGGCTGAGCAAACAGTAGAAACCTAAGATCAGCCTGGGGTTCTCACTATGAAAATATGTAGAACTGCTTTGCTTTTACCAGTACAGGCATTAAACACTGCAAGATGAAACTCTAAAAGAAGACCAAGTTCTTTATAACTACCACTAGTTAACTTTGGACTTCATTCTCTTTTCTAAAAACCAAATATTTAATAATAATTCTTTTTAAACTTTTAAAACTGTTATTACCTTTATGTTTTTCCAATATTTTCCATATACAAAATATACTTCATTTAACATATAAGGTAACCAAAAGCCAAAGAGCATTTTGACTTTTAACATATACTATAAATCTGAAGTTACTGAACCACTAAGATGAATAATTCGTAATTCTGTTATTAAAAAGAATTAGTTTTACTTACCAGAAAAACTAGTGACCCATCAAGTCCTAGCATCTAAAACAAACAAATAATAATAGTATGTATTAATCCAAGATGCAATAGAATTTTTTATTCCAATTTCTGAAAAAGGCTCACTTTCCTTTTAATATCTTTAAACATAGTCCTCACCCACTACTTTTTAATACCGCCTGTCATTTTCAGAAAGTTAAAAAAAAAAATTGCTGACGAGAGTTTTATATTTTGAAAGTATAAGATTAAAAAGTCTTTACAAATTCCACCTTGAGTGTAGTTCTTATATAAGATACAGAGCCAGTCAAGACTTCACGACAGAACTGTTTTCTTTTGTCAACTGAACTATGAAAATACTACTTAAGTCTAAACTGTTACTTTGTTTTTCAAAAGGCCACAATTTCAGGTGAAACAAAGATAGAAAAACAGTCACGAATATCATATTTTCACCACAAACAGTACATCACTTAACTTTCTCTAAAAATTAAAATTCTGGTAAGCTGCTTTTATCAAATTAACTATAAAATTAGCGTACACATCTAAATGTGCCCAAGTTTAAAATATCTTTTAGGATTAAGACACCTGATAGGCTAGGCATGGTGGCTCATGCCTATAATTCCAGCGGTTTGGGAGGCCAAGATAGGAGCATCACTTGAGGCCAGAAGTTTGAGATTATCTGGGCAATACAGTGAGACCCTGTTTCCACACACAAAAAATGTTTAATTAAAAAAAAAAATTAGCCAGGCATGGTGGCACACGGCTGCAGTAGCAACTACTTATGAGGCTGAGATGGAAGGACAGCTTGAGCCCAAGTTCGAGGCTGCAGTGAACTACAATCATACCACTGCAATCCAGCTTGGGCAACAGTGAGACCCTGTCACCAAAAAGCAAAAAACAAAGAAAAAAACACCAGGATTCTTGATAAAAAAAAAGGTCTTACTCTTTCCCATGTAAGCTCTTCAGCAGCTCTGTCCCATTCTAAAGCATTCCAGTTCATGTCATCTGGAAATATAAGCACAGTTTAAAGATTACTGAGGGAACTTGAACTAAAAATAATAAGATGCAGTCTTTTAATTCAGTATTTTGTAAGCTGTTGTTGAGAAACCATATTCAAAATTTTTACATACTGAATATTTGCTTGTTAGGCAATAAATAATGAATATATAACATACATATAAATAATATATATAAAATAGGTAACCCTAGAAATGACTTAAGTGCTATAAAGGAAATAAATACAGGTTATATGAAAGAGGAATTCAACAGTTCTGAGGCAGTAACAATCTGGTGGGTTTGAGAAAAGTAAGGAAGCCAGGGATCTAGAACTTTCTGAGTGATAAGCGTGGGGGATGTTAAAGGAAGACAGGAATCAGATCATATAAGAGACATGTGAAGTCTAGACTTTATTTTATTATTTAGTATAACGGAAAAACCACTAAAAGATTTAAAAGCAGGAAAGTAATATGAACTATGTGGGACAAGAATGGAAGGAGGAGACCAGTCAGGAGCTCCTGCATTAGATAAAGACAGAAATCATGGCCAGACACGAGGGTGGCAGCAGGGTGCATTCTCAGAGCCTGACCTCTCCCTGCGAAGGTCTCCTGCTCCCATTACACAAGTCATTTCTCATCCTTTCAGTCTTGGCTCAAATATCACTTATGCTGAGGAACCTGGGAAACCTTATTTTAAAAAGGACTCCCCGCAGCATCCTCAGAGCAACCTGCACAACACTTATCACAATGTACGCTTCCAATTTCTTCGCTAGACCAGAAATTCCATGAAGGTAGGAATCTAGTGTTTTGTTCACAACTATGTACTCAGTGTCCACCAGAGTCCCTTGCATAAGGAGACACTCAAACACCAGCCGTGTCGAGTGGACCCAGAGATGGTGCAATGACTGAACGGAAAACTGAGGTGGGAGGGAGAAGGAAAGGCAGTGAGCAACTAATAGCTGCCTGACATACCCAGTCTTGGATGTCATTTTACATTCTAGAGTTTACACTGCTAGAAAATGAGAGACTGGTTTCTTTAGGTGGTCCCTGGTATGCATATTCATATGCATATTCATATGCATACCAGGGACCACCTAAAGAAACCAGTCTCTCATTTTCTTTTCATTTTCTTGAAGTATATATTTGAATATACTTCAAGAATTATTTTTTATTTTAAAAGTTGCACTGACTCAATGGACTTGCAAAGAGAATAAATGAATGAGAAAAATCCTTATCAAATTCCTTACAAAATAGGATCAGTTCCAATCTAACAAATAATTTCTTCCTATCCTTCCTACATAAAAAGTCCTATATAAAAGAAAATTGTAGCCGGGCTCAGTGGCTCAGCCTGTAATCCCGCGCCTTTGGGAGGCTGAGGTGAGTGGATTGCCTGAGCCAGTAAGTTCGAGACCCGCCTGGGCAACTTGCCAAGACCTCATCTCTACAATATATCAAAAATCAGCCGGGCGGGGTAGCGCGTGCCTGTAATTCTGGCTACTCAGAAGGCTGAGGGGGAAGGATTGCTGGAGCCCGGCGGGTTGAGGCTGCGGTGGCCGGGAGCGGCCACTGCACTCCAGTCTGGGCGACAGAGTGAGACTCCAACTCAAAAAACAAAAAAACAAAAAACCAGAACTTCAAAACACTAAAATGTAAAAACTCCATTCCTCTTCCTCAATACAAGCTGACAAGAGATTCATGGTGGTGAGGAGTGCGGCCACACAAGCATCATTACCCTGGGCTCCATTATTAGCATCTGCCGCATCTTCGACACCAGCATCATCTTCCTCCTCATTGTCCTCCTCCTCCTCTTCAGGCTGATCATCCTGGGCATCGGGGTTCTCCCCGACCACGGCATTCTCAGCAGGTGGGTTGGCAGGCTGATCAGCAGCAACATTTTCTGCACCATTTCCTCCTGCTGGAGCCTAAAAATGACAGAAGAGTCTAGACATTTAGATCCACTCATCTGTTTTGCTCTATTTCCAAATCGCATTATCCCTGCTAAAAAAACAAAACTAGCAAACACAAACCTACTAAAATTTTTTTAAAGCACACCTTTCAAACACATATTTTCTAAATGTATCCAATACACTCAGAGGCCACAGTATATATATTCATTTAGTATAATTTAAGGATTAATATTTTACAAAACATTACAGAAAGTGGGCTTTCAAAGCTGGCTCTCTTGAATACATCATTCTGAAATCCTTTTTTTATGACATATTTCTTGTCTCTATTGACAGTGTTAGGGGTAACATTATTTTTAATTTACATACATACATATTTGTAACTTAATTCTCTTGTTATCAAACACTTGAGGAAACGGTTTCTAATTTCTGCTCAGTGGGTAAGACTGTGCATGTGGACTTTGTGAGTTCCCAAATGCATTTTCCTCTGGCTCTTCCTAAGTTCTGCTACCTACCAATTACAAAGATATAGTTGTAGTTAATTGTTAATAGTTAAGTTAAAACACTTAACTCCCAATGGTGTTCATGAGGATTCTAAAAAAGAACTGCACTAAATGCTTCAAAACATGAGGTACACTGATAACATTTAATACTACACGAGTGTCATTTTCTTTACAGTCCATTGTCTATGTATGCTTTCCAAAGGAAAGGCTGCACTCTGTAGAGAAAAAGAAATGGAGTAATTTGATGAAATCAATCTTTTCACTAACAAAAGCTGAAAGTCCCAAAAAGAAAAGATAGCTCGTTCACTATAATTTTGAGTATTTTATAGTTCATGTTTAATAATAAAATGTAATTTGTATTCATAACCCTGAATTGCACCCATCTTTAAAATAAATAATAATAAAATGTAAATAAAGTGTAAACCATTTTCATATACAAGTAGCTAATTTGTGATGTTTTCAGTCCCATAATTTGTCAGCAAGCAAGATACTAAAAATTACTTATTATGTCCCCTTCTTAACACTCCTTGCATCTTAGATGCCACTTGCTCAGATGCAAGTATGTCATCACTCAAAATGAAAGAATAAAACTGCACAAGATTTCTATCAACAGTGTTCCAGTTTTCTGCTTTTGCTAAAGTTCCTACTTGGTAGGAAAGGCAAGGCATTTTACACATGAAGAGACTGATAAAGAGGCAGGGTAGCCTCCTTAAAGTTATGCAGCATGTCAGAACATATCCAGGAGAAGCGTTTCTTAATTTCCAGGACACTCCAGGTAAGCAGTGAACCCAGACAAAGAAAATGAAAGAGCACTTTGGCACACCCCTAACACAGCTCCCAACCTGGCTATTAAATTAAGAAGGCAAAGTCACCACAGCACTCTTGATTTTTCACCTCTCTCTTTTAATCTTCCCCCAACCCTTTCCACTGTCTTCTTTGAAATGGCAAAAGAACACTTAAATATGGAAATCAAGGGTTTGAATCTTAGAGGAAGACAGTAACTTTCATGTCCTACCAAGTTAAATCTATGCTGGGGGTGAGGAAGTTACCTCATTTTGGTGGTGTCCAGCAGCATTGAAGGGTGGAGCAGCATGCTCCAACCAAATTGGCGCGCCCCCATGGACAATCTGCTCTCGCAACCACACCAGGCTAATGAATGCACACAGTGTGCATGTCACCACAAAACAACCCTGCAAACAATCCGCCAACAAATTTTCCCTATTAAAAAAAATACATATAGTTATTCCAAAGGACACTTAAAATTAGGAAACCAAAGATAACAACGTTTCCTTTTACATTAAAATCACAGGAAAAAGACAGAAAAATAAAACATATTTTTTGAATGGAAATCCCTTAAGTTTATCCAAAGAATTATATAATAGTGAAAGTCTTTTTATCTTGTAAGACGGCCAACTTATATAAGATACATTTGTATTAAATACATTATAGTAGGCATAAAATAATATCAGAACTACACAGGAATATAATATATAGGTGGTTGGTTACCTGATACCTAAGTCCACACAAATTAACAGAATTATCAAATCAGAAAAGCAGAGAAGCTTCTCCAGACAGGCTTACAAACAACATAAAGAAATGAAGGCTGAGAGATATTCAGTGTGCCACGTGTAAGACAAAGAAGTCTATAATGCATTTTATAAAAATTTTTCACTTAGCAAGCAAATCAAGTTTTGGTGTTAACTGCATATATACTAAAGGTGTATTAGTTTTCAACAAAACCAAAAAGTCAAGGTAGAGTTCCTGTATCAATCATACATAAAAATACAAGAAATAGCATAATACTGAAAACCCCCTTCATCCACAGAGGAATGTGAAGAAACTTATTCTTCCCTAGTCCACCTTTATGATTTCAGAATAATCCAAGGATAACTAAAAATCTTAGTAGCCCTTGGAAAATCTAGTCTTTTAATAGAATGGTTTTTTCCCTCCATGGAAAACCTGAGACAGGGTCAATCTGTGCCTAGAGATTACCCAAATCACTGAGCTACAAAACAGAGCAACTGCTAAGATATTAAGGATATTTAAAGGAAAACCTCAGGGAAAAAAATATATTCTACAGAGAACACAAAACATTACTCAGAAAAAAGGTCATTTCGTTACAAATGCTTTCAGAAAAACTGCTTCAATTTTTCAAATTGTTAAAGGTCACATAGGATTATAAAACCAAGCCATGTTTACAATTTCTTCTGACTCTCCGCACCAGGCCACCAGCATTCCACCACTGTCAATGAGTCCTCTAATGAAGGCAAGTCAGGCGGCCGGCCCACAAGCCAATCAGGTCTGAGGGAAAGGGGAGCCTGCCAGTACCAGGCAAGCAACAACACTTGTTGTCAAATTAAGATACAGTAAAACAACTACAGTGAGCAAGTTTTTAGCATCTATATTCTAATAATCACAAAAAACATTTAAAAAATAAAGTGAGTTCAAATGTGTATGTTAAAAACACGTTTAAACAAACTCTCAACATATGAACATCAACAGTAGTATATATTTCAAACTGCATGACATCCTATTTACCAGGTTATCCCACCACTACAAAATAGTTCTTTAGAACAGTATGTTTTAAAAGGAATGTCATTTATATTTATCAGCTACTTCTACTGTAGCTATAACTGTTAGAGTAAGAAATATTAACTATCTGTCCTGAAAACAGAATAATTTTCAAATTATAACAAAATTAAATATATGGAGAAAAAACCAAGCATTATCTATGTTGCACAACCTTGACTGTCAAACAGATTCAATACTCACGTCGACAGCATGTCTAGTGGCAGTGTCAGTAGTGAGCTCACAGAGCCAGTAAACAAGCACTTGTAGATGCGGCCTGTCAAAAAAGAACATGAAGGCACACAGTCACAACTCACACCATGAACTCATACAGTGGCTCAAGAAAGCAGAGGAGTGCCATGAATGTCACTGACATAAACAATCACTCTTTGCAAGTCTGAGTCTAAAAATACTAAATTTTTAAAAATATGGTGAAGCATAAAAATAACAAGAGTGAACAGTAAGTATTACACAATGTTTAGTGTTTAGATTCTCCCTAGATTTACTTGCTTCCTTTAATTAAATGAGTTTAGATATCAGAAAAGGAAAAAACAAACTAAGCCGGGCTCGGTGGCTCAGCCTGTAATCCCACGCCTTGGGAGGCTGAGGTGCGTGAATTGCCTGAGCCCGTGGGTTCAAGACCCGCCTGGGCAACTTGGTGAGACCTCATTTCTACACTAAATCAAAAAATTAGCCGGGTGTGGTAGCACATGCCTGTAGTTCCAGCTACTTGGAAGGCTGAGGCGGAAGGATTGCCAGAGCCCAGCAGGTTGAGGCTGCAGTGGCTGGGAGTAGCCACTGCACTCCAGTCTGGGCGACAGAGTGAGACTCCAACTCAAAAAAAAAAAAAAAAGAAAAAACAAACTAAAGATCTCAAAAACAACAGTTTAAAGAATTTTTTTAAACTCTAGGATTTCAATTTTCATTAAGTCTGCCCATGAAAATAAAGGATTTCCATTTTGAGGTGTACATCTTTGAAATTAAGAGGTTTTTTTCTGAAGAGCATGTGCTTTAAGGTCATAAATGACAACCTGACAACCAATTTTCTAAAAGCACAAATTCAAGGACCCTCAAATAGAGAATATCTTATTCTCTATTTCTCTTATTCTGAAAATATCTCATTTTCCAAATTCAGGTCATTTAGGAAAAAGAGGAAGTACAGGTGAATGCTCTATCATCCCGTTACCCCTTAGTCAGAAAAGGCAATCTTTTAGTGAGAAAAGCAAAATTCCAGGCAGAATGAGATAACAGAGCGTAAATTTGGAAATGGGGCACGAGAGTAAAAAGCTGAGATTTCCTTTCAAGCCAGTTCTCACTTGTGTATTGGTTTAAGCATTCTCTATAAACTTTTTTTTCCTGAGTTGGAGTCTCACTCTGTCACCCAGGCTGGAGTAGAGTGGCACTCTCACAAGCCACTGCAGCCTCGATCTGCTGGGCTCAGGTGATACTTCCATCTCAGCCTTCCAAGTACCTGGAACTACAAGCATGGGCCACCACGCCCGGCTAATTTTTTTTTTTTTAACTGTAGAGACAAGGTCTCGTCATGTTGCCCAGGCTGGTCTCGAACCTGTGGGCCCAAGCAATCCTCTTGCGTCCACCTCCCAAAGTGCTAGGATGACAGGCATGAGCCACCACACCTGGCCTCTCTATATATAACCTTTTATCAAAAATTTTCAGTGACTTCATTGGCTGTTTTCAAAAGCCAAATCAAAATGAAAAGGCAGGAAAAGATTTTCTATAATAGAAATTACTTACATATGTGTACAAAAGCAAGTATGCTTGTAAAAAAGTAAAAATGACAACAAACTAAATGTGGAGATGGGAAAACGGGTTCATAAACAGGCCTCCTCACTACAGAGTACTTTGCATCCATTAAAAAATAAAAATAAGCTAGTAGAACACGTACGTACATGGAAAGACAGCCAAGGTACACTGGTAAGTTAAAGAGAGAAGTTACAGAATGTGTTTTATCTGATGTAATTTAAATTGTGTCTGTATATAAACAAGTGAGAAATCAAACTTGTTAACTGTGGAACTTAAATCTTCTTAGTTCTTACTTATTTTTGACTATTGGACCTACTAATTTTAGAGAAGCATGTTAGTCTTCCACTACAACTATGAATGCTTTACATAGCTATTTTCTGGTACATAAAAATTCTTCAATTTTATTTTCTTCATGTTCTATGCCTTTCATTAATATGAAATACAGTCAGGCTCAGTGGCTCAGCCTGTAATCCCGCATCTTTGGGAGGCTGAGGTGAGTGATTGCCTGAGCCCGTGGGTTCGAGACCCGCCTGGGCAGCAAGACCTTATGTCTACAATAAATCAAAAAATCAGCCAGGTGTGGTAGTGCATGCCTGTAATTCTGGCTACTTGGAAGGCTGAGGCGGAAGGATCGCCGGAGCCCAGCAGGTCGAGGCTGTGGTGGCTGGGAGCAGCCACTGCACACCAGTCTGGGCGACAGAGTGAGACTCCAACTCAAAAAAAATTAAATTAAATTAAAAAAAAAATATGAAATACAATTCTTTGTCCCACTTAATGCATTTCACCCTGAATGACCTTTGGCTGATTAATATTGTTCCTGTTTTCTGTTAGCATTTGCTAACAAAATTATTTTTCTATCTCTTTAACATTAACATACACACAAAGTGTAAAGATCTATTTTGTAACAAAGAAATCTAAACCCTTATGGTTACAGATATATTTAAGTTTACCTTTTATTTCCCCCTCTTTGCCTTCCCTTTCTTTCCTGTCTTTAGTTGAGCTTTCCTTTTATTTGCTGGTTCCCACTCCCACTCCCCAGAATGAAAACTGACCCTACTTCTAATCTTCCAGCAGTTGCCTTTAAGTTCTGCTACTTTTTTATCGAAATACATTTTACATAAATTATAAGTGTCCAGCTAAGTGAATTCTTACATATGTATATAGCTAGGTAACTACCACCCAGATCAGAATGTTCAACACTTCCAGCCGCTCAGACGGCTCCCTCAAGCCCCTTCCCAGTCAACAGACCCTCCAGAAGGTAACCACTATTCTGACCTCTATCCCTATAGATGAACTTGACTTGTTTTTAAATTTCACATACATGCTATCATGCAACCTATAATCTTTTGTGCCAGGCTTCTTTTTGTCAAAGAAGCAAAATTCTCCCATGTTATTCTTTATCACAACAGCCAACTCCTTTGTCACTGCTTTGTGAATAAACCACAATGTATTCCACTGTATGAATAAACCACAATATATCCATCCGACTGCTAAGAAGGATGCAATTGGTTCTGGTTTTTAACCACTATTAGCAAAGCTGCTGTGGTCATTCTGATATACACATCCTTTAGTGGACAGAAAGTTCTCTTGTTATTCCAGGAATGGAACTCTAAGATCGTAAAGTATCTATAATACTTAGCATAAGTAGATGATGTCAAATAGTTTTCCAAAGTGGTTATAACGTACACACTCCCCTCATCAATGTACACATGGTCCAGATGATCCACATCCTAGGCAACATTTGGACTGTCTTTAAACCATTCTTCTTGTGCCTTTCCCTGACAAGTAATGATGTTCAGCACTCTTTCCTGTGTTTATTGGCTACAGTCATCCTTTGGTATCCAAGGGGAATTAACTCCAGGACTCTCCCCAATACCAAAATCTGCAGATATTCACATTCCACAGTCGGTACTGCAGAATCTATGGATATGGAGGGCCTACTAACATAGGTATCTTCTTTCCAGAAACACCTGTTCAAATCCTCTGCCCACTTTTTTTATTGGGCTGTCTTGCCTTTTTCTTGCTGATTTATATACTCTAGATCAAGTCTTTTTTTGGGCATATACATTGCAAATATCTTCTCCCACTCTGTGGCTTATCTCTCACCCTTAAAAGTATCTACAGATTAACAGAAGTACTTCATGCCGGGCTCGGTAGCTCAGCCTGTAATAACAGTGCTTTGGGAGGCTGAGGTGAATGACTGCCTGAGCCTGCGGATTCAAGACCCGCCCGGGCAACTTAGTGAGACCTCATCTCTACAATGAATCAAAAATTAGCCGGGCATGGTAGTGCACACCTGTAATTCCGGCTACTTGGAAGGCTGAGGCGGAAGGATCGCCGGAGCCCAGCAGGTCAAGGCTGCGGTAGCCGGGATTGTGCCACTGCACTCCAGTCTGGGCGACAGAGTGAGACTCCAACTCAAAAAAAAAAAAAAGAAAAAAAGAAGTACTTCATTTTATCAATTATCAATATTTTAGTTGTCTCCTGTATTTTCTTTTAGAAGTTTTTTTTTTGTTTTAACTTTTATATTCAGGCTTTTAATTCATCTCAAATTAAGTTTTACATCAGAAAGAGGTAATGATATGGTTCATTTTTTTCCCTGTATGGCCATCTAGTTGATGCTATACTGTTTACTGAAAAGACTATCTTTCCTCCACTGGACAGTGACAGCAACTTTGTTGTTAATCAAGTCTAGTTCTGGACTCTGGTTACCCCTACATTCTTAATGCATAGTTATATTTTTCTACCTACATCTAGAACATCTAGACAAGCAACTGAAACTTTTATTTCTATCCTCCCCTTACAATTTCTCCCATGTTAAGATCATCTGGAATTTTAGTTCAAGGCTGTTACCTAAAAATATTAATTATTACAGACTAACAATAATTGAGACTTAGCTATACGAAACACTTGTTCCCTTTTCTTCATATCTCACATCCTGCCTTTTGATTCTTTGCTTATTTAGCAAAGTATGTTCTCAAATAACGTTTTCATAAAAAACTTAAGGCAGTAAGCTTTTCAAATCTTTACACCTACTAAAATGCTGACATCTTGTCCTTCCATCTGAGAATGATTTACAGAAAGAGAATTTTAGGTTCAAAAAATGTCAGGCTGGAAGCACTGGCTCACACCTGTAATCCCAGAACTTTGGGAGGCCGAGGATTGCTTGAGCCCAGGAGTTCAAGACCAGCCTGGGCAACATAGTATCACTACAAAAAAATCAAAACAATTAGTCGGGCAGGTAGCACACACCTGTAGACCCAACTACTTGGAATCTAAGGCAGAAGGAGCCCAGGAGGTTGAGGCAAGCTGTGATTGTGCCACTGTGCTCCAGTCTGGGCAACAGAGTGAAACCCCAAACCTCCCCTCCCCCTCTCAAAATGTCAAATTTTGAAGTTTCCACTGTCTTCTAGCATTCAACACTAGTAATTTTAAGTCTGACGGACGTCAGTCTGGTTTTCTTCCTTTGTAGGATAAACTGAAAATACACCATCTCTAGTCCAGGTTACAAGTCTTTTTCTTTATCATGGTCAGCTTTCTCTTTCAATCTAAAAGATGCCAATCATTGCCTTATCCCCATTACCTCCTTCACCTGAAGAACTACTAACTAGACAGATAAACAACAGAAATCAAGCTTTCACCTCTCAGATTTTTTTCTCATACTTGCAACTATGTGTCTCTGAGTTACAACCTAGAACTCCTTGGCTCAATCTTTTAGCTCACTCACTCTTCAACAGAACATATATTCTGCTATTTGGTGTATCTCCCAAGATTTTCATTTCAATAGATTTTCATTTGATCATGCTTATTTTATCATATTTTAGGAAGACATGAGGATATTAATTATTCTAATGCAAAAATCCTGTTTAACTCCAAAGAATCATATCTATATACTCTGCTACTCATATACCATCTACTTCTCTATAAAGAACCCAAAGGGGATCACCTAAGAGGGTTAGTTAGTTTATCAGCCTGCCAGAGAGCCTCCTACTTCTGAAAGATAAGCCTCCCAATTATCCAGGACTATCAGCTAAATGACCTTTTCAAAAAGAAGAGGAAAATCCCAAAAGAATCCATCTTTTGCAGTCCTTGAAAGCTCTAGCACCCAAGTATAGGGTAGCTCATGCCTATAAACTCAGCACTCTGGAAGGACAAGGCAGGAGGATCGCTTGATCCCAGAAGTTTAGGCCCAGCCTGGGCAACATAGTTAGACCTTGTCTCTACAAAAACTACAAAAATTATCTGGGCCTGGTGGTGCACACCTGTAGTCCCAGCTACTTGGGAGACTGAGGAGGGAGGATTGCTTGAACCCAGAAGGCCAAGGTTGCAGTGAGCCAGGACTGCACCACTGCACGCCAACCTGGGCGACAGAGTGAGATACCACCTCAAAAAAACAAAACGGGGGGAGGGAGCTTTAGTATACTTCCAAGAATAAAATTTGTGTTTTGTGGTTTGATTTTCAATTCTTTCATGAAGTTTTATTATTAGTCCCTGTATGATGTGCTCTTTTCCCACGTTATTTTAAGAAACTGATGTTAAAAAACTTTCTTAGTTCAGATGAATGTTTTCTAAGTGAGTCTTTTCTAATATGTGATATAATATCAAATAATTAAATATAATTTGAACAACAGTATGATGCAATATTACTTTTTAATATTAAAACAGTTATGCAATGTTTAAATAACTCAAACCAGAGGCATGAATACTCACATGCTGTAAGAGGAACAACTCCCAACCATGCAAAGGCCACAAGTGTATAATGAAACCAATATCGTATTGCAGTACCAATACTTGTAACCAGTCCGGCAAATATGTCTTGAATTGGAAGCCGTGAAGGCATATCTGGAGAATAAACTACAAAAGGAAAAAAGCACATACAACATCATAAAGATTTAAAAATAACTTAATTCATAAATATAAAACAGGCATCAAACTTTCCCTACCTGTATTTCACTTAAAATGTGTCCTATTAAAAAAAAAAAGAGCCAGGTCACGGCAGTGGCTCATACCTGTAATCCCAGCACTTTGAGAGGCCAAGGCAGGAGGATTGCTTAAGCCCAGGAGTTCAAAACCAGCCTAGGCAACATAGCAAGAACTTACTTCTCTACAAAATTATTTAAAAAATCGACCAGGTGGCACACCCATTGTCCCAGCTGCTGAAAGGGCTGAGATAGAAGGATTGCCTGAGCCCAGGAGGTCAAGGCTGCAGTGAGCCATGATTATGCACTGCACTCCAGCCTGGACAAGAGTGAGACCCAAACTCAGAAACAAACGAACAAACAAAAACCCTAAAACACAAAATACCTTCACAAAGGAATGTACTGGGATCCCAAAATGAACAATTATGCTTCAAATTTTTTATAATTTGTGAGTGTAGTCCTCTATTTAAGATGAACACAACAGTAAACACTTATCAATAGGGGTAGGAATTGTCATCAATATTTTAAAGACCTGCAAAATATTTACAAAATACTAACAAAATACTGAGCTAACATTGTTATTCTAACCTATATAATCTTAGCTCAAAAATAGTCCAAATTTGAATATTATGAGATATCTGATTAAATCAAGGCATCACTGTTAATTTTTCTAGGTGGATAAATGGTATTATCATTATGTTTTTTAAAAAGATCCCTTACTGTACATACTAAAATAAAGATGAAATTATAAATGATGGGGTTGTTTGAAAAAAGGATGGAGGCCGGGCATGGTGGCTCAAGCCTGTAATCCCAGCACTTTGGGTGCCGAGGCAAGAGGATTGCTTGAGTGCAGGTGTTTCAGACCAGCACAGGCAGTATAGTGAGACTCCAACTCTACAAAAAATCAAATATTAGCTGGGTGTGGTGGCACATGCCTGTAGTCCCAGTTACTCAAGAAGCTGAGATGGGAGGACTGCCTGAACCCAGGAGGTTGTGGCTGCAGTAAACCCTGATCCTGCCACTGCACTCCAGCCTGGGCAGCAGAGTCAGATGCTGACTCAAGAAAAAAAAACAAAAAAACAATGGAGAAGTAGGGAATGAGAGCACAGGCACAACAAGATAGGCCAGATATGAAACTAAGTGATGAGTATATATGGGCTTATCGTATCTTTGTTAAGTGTCTGAACTTGTCTATAATTAAATGTTAAAAAAAAAAGACCCAAAAAAAGTCCTACAAATTAAACCTCACACACGTATATATGTTAAAAGAAGGTATGTGGTTTTTAAAAACATTTCCCTAAATGGATAGCAATACTTTCTATTGCTACCAAAGACAATCAAGCTGAAAATAGTTGCTTTAAACCATTTAAACACCTTTATGCTGCCAATAATAACCAAAAATGTATCTAAACTTATAAAGAACTTACTTGGTGTAAAAGCAAATCTGTGCTTGCATAATTCACAGTATTCTTTTCGACTGTGTTTCAGCCACTGAACTAAGCTGTAATTACAAATACACTCATAAGTACAGTGTTTACAATAAAGAAACATTAAGGCTTCATTGAAAACTAAGAGTCTGTTTCTATTAAAACCTTACACATAACAGCTTGCATAATTTCAATAATTTCAAATTAGAATATTCTTAACTTTTTATAACTGTCTCCTAAGAGTACAGAACTATGACAACCAAAAATAAAAAACAATATGTATTTCTACTTTTAAAAAGGTTCAATTAATCTAAGCTAATCTCCTCAATCTAAACTGTAATCTTCTCAAAGCTAAATGAGTATGAAATAATCTCCTGGCATAGACATCAGTTCTAACACTGGTCTGACAATATCAGTACCTGGTATTGAGGTCTGAATCCTAGTTCTGGCTGATAGAAAGGTTACTTAGGCTTTCTGTGCTTCAGTTTCCTCACCATAACAATACTCCACCTCAAAACTTTCTTATAAGGATTTCAAGAGTTAAAATGTGTAAAGTTCTTAGGACAGTTCTTGGCACAAAGGAAAGCTACTATTATGCCAAGCAAAGCTAAAAATCTGTAACACTTCCAGTGGACAAAATAAACAAGAGGGTACTGACGCATACCGGGGAGACAATATACCAAAATAATAGGCACAGTATGAAGAATTGTGTATAACTTCTCTTCCCAATTTTTGAATTTTTAGATAAAATTTTTTTAAATTACTAATTATTTTAAAAGTTCATTGAAATGATCTCTCTTATTGTATGGATGACAAACTTGAAGCTCAGACTTACACAATTTTCCAAAAGTATGACTTACCATTCTTGATGAATAAACTTAATACTGCCAGTACATACACAAGGGTGATAAAGAGGTTTCTCAGGTGTTCCTTCTGACCGACACACTCTACATATGTCTGTTAATGGAAAAAAAGAGAGAATTCCCTTTAGTTTTAACTTTTTTAAAAACAAGCCAGCTGTGGAAGTTCGTGATTATAAAACCAGTACTTTGGGAGGACAAGGCAGGAGGATTGCTTAAGGTCAACACAGGGAGACCTTCCACACACACACAAAAATAATAATTTTTAAAAATTACCCAGGCATGGTGGCACATGCCTATACTTCTAGTTAATCAGAAAGCTGAGACAGGAGGATCCCTTGAGCCCAGGAGTTCGAGATTTCAGGGAGTTCTGAAAATGCGACTGAACACCCCAGGTGGGGTGACAGAGGAAGACGCTCTTAAATTAAAAAAAAAAAAAAGTAATGCCCCTGCCTGGCAGGTCATGCCTGTAATCCCAGCACTTTGGGAAGCCAAGACACTTGGCTCAGTTGAGCCCAGGAGTTCAAGACTAGCCTAAGCAGTGTAACAAGACTTCGTCTCTACAAAAAATGAGCTAGGCATGGTGGTGCACACGTATAGTCCCAGCTACTCAAGAGGCTCAGGCAGAAGTGTCACCTGAGCCCAGGAGGTCAAGGCTGCGGTGAGCTATGATCATGCCACTGCACTCCAGCTTGGGCAAAAGAGTGAAATTCCAACTCAAAAAAAGTAAAAATGATAACAATACAAAAACAAAAACAAGACAATCAAAAAATTAAAATATCGCCCATTAAAGCAAGAATTAATCACTTGACAAAACATTAGGAGCATGGAACTGAAAACTGTGATTAACACATTCACGGCTGGCAAATTTTTCGTTTTCCTAATACTGAGAGCGGGTGAAAATAAAAAAATCTGAAGCTGGTTGCCACAAACTTCTGCCATTAAGCACAATTAAAACGATCTTTTCTAAATTGTCACCTTTTTCACAACACAGCTGAAAGTTGCAGACATATCCAGTATTTGCCTCAGACACCACTCTGACTGGCATCACACTTTGTATCTTTATTTGGATTATAAACCCAAAAAGACAGTTTTCCACAATGAGGTATCATGGAGTCATCCAAGGAAAGTTCTTCAGGTTTGTTGAACTTATTTAAAGCATAATTTATTACGGATTCAATTTTGCGCAATCTGCTGAGATCTGACTGCATTTCTGCATTATTGGAAAAATGCAAAAACCACAAAATTTGTAGGAAATCTATTTCACATCATTATTTTTTAAAAGAAAGGCATTGCACTTGACAGACGTGTTGACCAATAATCATGAACTGTGGTTTTCTCCACTTGTCCCATCAAAATAGTTAATGCTAGAGCCTTCTTCATTCTCAGACACCGTTGCACTGCTCCACTTTGTTTTTTATTTCTTTGAACATGCACATTTGTGATGCATCTAATCATAATACATGTTAGCTTCAGTTGCGATCATTTCTATAAAATCATCTCCAATAAATAGTCTGGCAACTTCACTTATACTTTAAGGATCATTTGGAAATACCTTGACACCTGGATTATCAGAATAAACACTTGTATGTTTCTTTTTGGATATTCTGTCCATTCAATGTCTGACTCGTTCTCACCAGACTAGATTCACTGTCGTAGATAATTTGCGTTACATTTCTTTGTTTACATTTCATCACTTCATCACTATCTGTCTCACTATCACTAATAAGTTCACTGGATTCACCTTTGACCTTGGAAATCTCATCAGCATGTATTTCTTCATTTTCCCTAATTATGGTAAATTATTTTTAATGCTGAAGTATGAAAGCCCTGAAATATCAAAATACAAGCATGTGACACTAATAACAACAAAATAATGACCAGCTTGCTAGTTTTACCAACTACATAAATAACATTGTGCAGTCAATATCAGATAATTATGTCAATTAACTTTCTCTCTTCTTGCCTTTCAAGTAAAATATAATAACACATACATATGATAAGATTGTAGCATCCAGAAACAGAATTTGCAAAGACATAAATTCACGTAAGTGGCAACCAGGAACAAATTTGGAATGATGTAAATTCATGTCAGTGGTCACAAATGAGTTAAGATGATATTCAAGCACATATCTGAAACTTTAAAAATTTCCTAAATGTGTTAAAAGACAAGTTGTTCCTTTGTATCAGAGTTCTAAGTCAAAAGTTGAAAACAACAAGAACAGTTAATTTTACTTAAAACTGCACTCTCCCATAACAAATACTAAACAGAAACATGCAAAATCAGGTCACCATTACTGTACCAGCAGTTAACAGTTTAACCCTTTGCACTCAGATGTCCCCTCTGAGGGGACATGGCAAATCTAGCAAACCACTTTGATGTCTTCTCTCAGAGGATACAAAGAGACTGCTGGTGATTATACAGGACAAACTTATGCTAGCACAAATATTTCCAAAACGTATGTTTCCTTGAAGCTTTCTATTCAAATTGCTCAAGAAAGCAAATAAAGAGGGAATATATACTGAGATATACGTTTAAAAAAAGTCAGCTAAGCCGGGCTCGGTGGCTCAGCCTGTAATTCCAGCACTTTGGGAGGCTGAGGTGAGTGGACTGCCTGAGCCCGTGGGTTTGAGACCCGCTTAAGCAACCTGGTGAGACCTCATCTCTACAATAAATTGAAAAATTAGCCGGGCGTGGTAGTGCGTGCCTGTAGTTCCAGTTACTTGGAAGGCTGAGGCGGAAGGCTCACAGGAGCCCAGCAGGTTGAGGCTGCGGTGGCCGGGAGTGGCCACTGCACTCCAGTCTGGGTGACAGAGTGAGACTCCAACTCAAAAAAAAAAAATCAGCTATCATTACAGGATGTGATGAATGTGTAAGGTGAATGTGTGAGGTGCTTTCACAGTGATGCACAGACTAGACAGTAAACTGCATATTATGAATGTGGGAGGAAGAAAACAAGACTGCATTATCTATGCATATAGAAAACCACTAGGTGGAAATCGTCAAACAAATTACTATCGCACAGCATGTATCAATGAACCTGCAGTGCGTGTCTGTGACTATTTCACATGTTCCCACACCTCAGAAAAATATAAGGTATGAAATTTTTATTTTTTGTCATAAGTTCCTTAGTGTCCAAAACTGCATTATAAAAATATCATTACAATAGGTTCCCATGCTATATTATTTAATATGAAGTGGTTCGTTTTTCACTATTTTGTTAAAAAAAAAAGTGTGGTTGACTAGCTGGCAAGTGATCTGCCAGACGGCTCAGAGTACAAAGGATAAAACTCCACAAAAACACATCTGAGGACTTAACAGTAACAGCACTAGGCAGGCAGGCACATGAGGCACCACTCTCGAATGACCTCACCCCACAAGAGCGACAGACAGAAACACACGCACCCAGGGTTAATGATGAGGGGATCTCAACACCAAGGACACCAGGTCACAGAGAGGTGAACCAGAGGCCACGCTCAGCAGAAGGGACCGCGGTCCAGGGCTGAGGGGTCCTCGGTGAAAGGGCCACAGCCTGGACCCGCGCCCGGCACTCAGCAGCTCTAGGGACATCTGTCATGTCTCCCGTCAAGAATGTCCTGCAACACAGCAGGGCAGAGGAACCGCGACTGACGCCGCGCTTGCTCGGAAAGCTCCTCTGCCAGCCGCTTCCGGAAACGCAGTCACAACTCGTACCCAGCTATCCTTACCGCCAGCTGGCGGATCTGAGGGGCAATGGCTGGTGTGCAGGAGAGGCAGGGGCTTACAGCACGCTCTTCCTCGTTCCTTTGGAATCACTGCCATCCCGATCCCCACCACCAGGATTCAGCGGGACTCTGACGCCCGTCGGAACGGAGAGAACACACGCTGAGTGGCACCGCGCAGCCCCAAGTGTGAAAGCGTCACAGGCTTGTGGCTGCTCCTCCTTGGGTGGGGTGCGTGGCTCTTCTACACTGCCGAAGACATCCGTCTGGTTAACTGGAAGCCAGGGGAGAGTAGCGTGCCAACCAGTTAGCGACCATGAATGTCTACCTCAGCTAGCTGCTCAATCTTGGCCACCTGTCCCAATGGAGCGACACCTGGTGCTCAGTGCTGCCTAACTGGTTAGCGCACTAGTCTCTCTGGTTATCTGTTAACCAGCCTCACTGGTTATCAACTAACCAGACAGATCTCTCATCAACGTACAGAAGTCATGTAACCCATCCACGGATGAGTTACCAGCGGTCCAATCCTGTCTGTGCCGGATCCCAGTGAGGTCGCCCGTGCTGAGTCAAATTAAGCCCCGACTCCACCACCCCCCAAAGCTGGTGCCTTTCAGTTTCAGCTGCGCAGCCAGACCCCCCTCACCAACGCCCACAGATGTTGGTTTCCTTAAGGTGACAGAGGGTCACGGTCCCAATCGCCATCGCTTACAGTCGGAATCACATCGCTCTAAACCCCTCTAAACCTCCCACTCTCACCGTCATCCTTGATTAATGAGAACATCCTTGGCAAAAGCGATCACGCTGGGCCATCCTACACTGGTCCAAGATTTGAGATCTAGCGGCGCAATAATGACACGTGACCGTTCGCTGCCTCGGCAAAGTTCCGACACAAAACAGAACCACGCTTCCATTCCACAAGTCCCATCGCAGTATCCAGGCGGCCCGTGCCGCGCTGAGCACCCTTTCTCCAGGCGCACACGTCAGCCCAGGGAAACCAGCCAAGAGCGCGGAAGGCGCCAAGAGGCGGGGCGGACCCCCGCGGCGCGGGTTAGCATTTCAACTGCTGCAAATTCAATACGCGGCATTAGCGCTGGGATTACCGCGGCCAACAGCACCAGGTCTGCCCTGCAACAGATCCTCCTGAAAGGATTTACGGTGGACTCGTTCCAATTACGGGCCTCAAAAGAGCCCTGCGTCTCTTTCATCACTGCCCTCCCGCGTAGGGAGTCGGTAATTTGCACGCCTGCTGCCTTCTTCGTGTGGGGTATTACTTTAGCAGGCTTTCTGCAAAACCAAACCGAGACTTCAGTCACTTGGATTTCTGGTCACCACGCTCTCCATGGTAGGCACAGCAAATACCACCTCAGGGTGACAGGGCCGTGGAGGTTACCCAGA